ACAGTATTTCATGGTCGGTATGTTGTCATGATCACTCTTATTCATGAGGTCTCATTTAATTCATATATCACACCTATTTTTTTTAGTCAATTTGAGAATATTTGTAATATTTCTTTTCTTAAAATTATGAGTTAAATTGATTTTTTTTCCTTTTATAAAATCATTGTCGACCATTTGAACATCAAATAAATATCAATAATTTCTAAAAGCAGCATTAATTTTTTAGCTTGAGGGTCATGTCACGTACATATATACATACACATAATTATTGAAAATCTTCATGTCCTACGTTCATAATTATTGGCAAACTTATCTAACAACATTAATTTTTATAAAATCTTAGGTAAATAATCAGATTTCGTATTTAGATTTGTCATTTAGTGAACTCAATATTCTCTTCTTGTCATGACCACGTGCATCTACTCGAGTAAAAAATGTGAGATTCAAATTTGAAATTCTTATAAATGAACGGCTAAAAAAATATGACATTATCAAATTTAATTATTTAATTTCATCATTAATTTAAAATAATGACTTTTTTTTTAATCGAAAATCATTACTTTGTACTTTTTTATTCTCCAATCATAATGAATTGGACAATACTTTTTCAAATATGATATATAACATGTTAGGAGAGACGTATGTTGTTATCTTAACTTAGTTATGTAAATAACATCTTCAAATGTGGAACAAATAAGTTTTGAGTCTCAACATATTGACTTAGGTATTAAATAAATAGTGTAATTTATTGGATGGTTCTAGAAAATGGGTCGAGCCTCAATTAAGAAGAAGTTGTTTTGAAAGTTCTAGAGAATAAGAAGTGGGTATGGTTAAATTTGCACATTGACTAGTTATGGGAAAAATTTATGTTCAAATTAGACGATATCATATTAATATGGAGATTCACTGTCACTAACAGAGATTTAGAGTGTGGTTGCAAAAAGGAGACGTTATGAGTAGAAGCACGCCATGATTTCATGGTAGGTTGCAGAAAGGAGAAATCATAAATTTGTTCTCGAATTGCATTAAATAATTTTAGGGAGCAAGGAGAGTGTAAGACGTTACAAATTTCATTTCTACAAAGTTTGGATTGGTCAAACACGTTAAACACCAATTCTTGGCCTTCTCTACATTCCACAACTAACTGTTGACTTTAAATCTTAAAACAAACGGTTTTGGTCGTTGGCTAACCTCCAGAATTATTAAGCTATTGCTTCTGGGTTTCTCCTTCTTTCTCTTCCGCGGAAGAAACCCCAAATGGGCTAGGGCTAAGCCCACTCGTCTAAGCCACCCTAATCAAGGTCCAACCAAAAAAGGATGAACCAGACTGGGGCTCAACAATCCAATGCCAGGTCTAAGCCCACGAGGCTAACCAGTCACTAGGTCAAGCCGACAGGCCGAGTTCTATAATGGATCAAACAGACCCCCCATGTCAAATATAGTATATGCTTGTGCTGAAACAAATTATAGTATCTGGTTAGAGATCCCACGTTGGTAAAAAAAAGAGAGCGAAAGGTTTTTTTATAATAGTGTGAAAATTTCTCGATAGTAGATGTGTTTTAAAATCGTGAGGTTGACGGCGATATATAATAGGCTAAAGTGGCCAATATCATCTAGCGGTGGGCTTAGACTGATACAAATAATATCAGAGTCAGACATCAAGTGGTGTGCCAACAAGTACGTTGGCCCTAAAGAGGTGGATTGTGAGATTACATGACGGTTAGAAAGGGAAACAAAACATTCCTTATACGAATATGGAAACCTTTCCCTAATAAATGCAGGAATACGTAATAGACAAAAATGAACCATATATGTTAGTTGTGCAGTAAAAGACTTGGATTGTTACCGTTGATAGATCTTACAAAAAAAAAAGGGACAAAAAAAAAATTATGGTCAACTATGACATTGAGGTGAGGTATGAACTCAGCTTTTGAATAGGTGAAAGATATTTGCCAAAATTCATGGTTTAAAGTGGTTGAAATTGCATACATGTTGACTAAGCAAAAGATAAAAGGGAATCATTTCTTAACCATTTAACTTATACTCAAAAGTCTTACAATTTAACCTCGAGAAGGCTAAAAGGCTAAGAGTAAACGAAGTTCGATATCTGGTAGAAAGCATTGTGTTTGTAAAGGGAGATGTGAAGAATACAAGAAACCAAACATAAACAAACATTGTTTTAGTTTGTCAAGAGTCTTTGTCGTGTATTACCAATTAAAAACCTACGCTTTGGTAGGTGTGTGCTGGAATTTGATGTTCATAAAATGATTATACAAATATAAAACACAGGTTTTGGTTTCCCTTTAATTTCTCTTTTCAACTACTCTGCCACTATATCATTTTTTTTATCAAATGAATGATTCCATAGTATTTATGTTTTTTCTTACGGGGTTCTCTTCAAGATTTTTAAAATGTGTATGAGACAGGTTTCCACACTTTTATAAATAATGTTTCGTTCCCTTTTTTAATCGACGTGGGATCTCATATATGCAATGCAAAATTGACTAAAAAGAATAACAGCGGAATTACAAAATTCTCTTTTTAATTTCACCAAAAACATCAATTTAAACATGCTTTTTCGGTGGTTCATATAAAAACTCTAAAATTAAACTTTGTGCACATTGTTTTTCAGTCGGTTTAATCATAAGAACTCCAAAAATTAAACATATTTGGCTTAGAGTCATCCTAAACTCTTGAGATGTGATTTAAAAGGAAAAATTAAGTAACATCGTAATGTTATAAGGATGCAGACGAAAGTCAAGACCATCATGTATCGAATCTAGATTTCAAATCCAGATTTGTACGGTGAGCATGGACGATACGATCCACAAAAAAACATGTGCATGGAATGCAAGCTTTTAGAAAAGTTGACCATTGGGTCCATAAATTCTATAATACTAAAAAGAAAAGGAGAAAGACAAAGGGTTGGAGTCATTTTGAAGGCATTTTGATAAAGGACACAAGGATTAGGTCAATGGAGGGGTCAGGTTGATGTGTTTTTCAGTGTGAAAGTGCCGAAAATTTTCTTACAAAATTTCTCCTAACTTTTATGGTCAAAAAGCACAAATAGTTATGGGTAATTGGAGGACTCAATATCAACTTTTCATGCACATAAAATTACTAAATATTGCTTTGATTAATCTTGTTTGACTCATTTTTTAATCGAACAAAAACGAGGGAAAAAAAGTCATTAATTATTATTATAGTTATTATTGTAATTTAGTAAGAGAAAGCTTGACTTTAATTAAAATTGGATTAAAAAACATAAAGCACTAATTAACTTTTATTAATTGAGTCGTTTCAAAAAGAAAAAAACAAGGATGATGAAGTTAAATTGATGAATTGATGGAATCATTAATATGCCTCAACCAATATCATGTTAACTTTTTCATTTTATTTATTTCAATATTAGTAATAGGGAGAAAAAAAACAACAATTTTGTTTTTTTTTTTTTAATCTTAAAAAATATTCATTTTGTATCTTACTTGAGTTAGAATAATGTATATGAATGAGAGATTGGAGCCGATGTTCTAGAGTTGATCGATCGACTATCAAATGTGCTACATTAAACATCAATGTTTGTTATTATAGAGTCAACTTTTAATGTGACACTCAAGTAAAGTAGAAGTATGGACAATAATCCTGAAAAATGAAAATTACTATCTATACCAATAAAATGGACCTTCTATTTTGGTAGCTCGATCATATGAACTCCACAATTAAAATATGTTTTGCTTGAAGCAATTCTTGGGTGACCTCCTAACAATATTTCGAGGATGCATGTGATTGAGGGTAAAAAATGTTAAAATAACCCGTGTTGGTTTGTGGGGATAGTTTTCTGTAACAGCCCAAGCCCACCATTAACAGATATTGTTCTCCTTAGACTTTCTCTTTCGAGACTCAACATCGTCACTCACACACCATCTAGTATCTAACTCTGATACCATTTTGTCATGACCCAATTTTTGAAAAGGATGGACAACATGACACTATGTCATCAAGAATGTTGAGTCTGAAAAAGAAAAGCTTAAAAAAAACAAATATCTAATAAAGATAAATTTGAGCGGTTATATTTTTCATTTTTATAAGTAATAAGTAAATAACGTGATCAAATCATATATTGAAACTATCAAGTATGGAGCTTAAATCTTAGACACAAGTCTGTTAATAAAATACAAAAGAATGGGCGGTGATAGAAATAGGGAGTAAAGGTGGTGTCACAAATTGTGGATTGAAAAGGAAAAGAAATGTATGGAAAGGTGGGGAATTTGATAAAGTAGAGAAGAAAAATAAAAGACAGAAAGAAACAGTAAAAGAAAAGGGGAATGAAATGAAATGAAGTTATGTATGGAGATGGGAGATGGGAGATGGGAGATGAGAGACAGAGAGATGAGGAGACATGGGGGCGTGGGTGGAACAACACTCAGCTGAACAACACTCAGCTGAACAACTCTTGTCTGAATCTCGAATCCCCCGCTGTAAACGTAGAAAACAAAAATAACCCATTGAACCAGGATTTACCTTTTTCATGAAAAGAAAAACTCTTTTCACACTTACCCCAAAGTTCTTACACTTTCCTCACCCAAAACCTTCTTTCTTTCTTTCCTTCTTTGTTTCTTAGATTTGGTTGTGTTCTTTCATACCATAAAAAGGGTGTTGGATTTGGTCCACCAATCCCTTCTCCAAAATTTGGGTTTTCTTCTTCTGTATATCGTCATTTTCCATGCCCATCATAGGGTTTAGAAGGGGTGATTGTGTTTAGGGATGGANTTTTTTTTGTGATTAGGTCATGATGATTTTTTTTTTTTTTTTTTTTTTTTTTTTTTTTTTTTTTTTTTTTTTTTTTTTTTTTTTTTTTTTTTTGAAGTTGTTACAAATAAAGCAAGAGAGAGAGAGAGAGAAAGGGAGGAATTGGGATTGTATGTATATATAGATTAGATTGGATTGGGTTGGGTTGGATAATTAATTTGAGTGATGGGTTTTGTTTATGGACCCCCAAAAAACCCGGTTTTTATTTTGTAGCTAACCCATTTGTCCTTTTCTCTATCCTTTTCCCCCATTTCAATCTTTCATCTTCTCCCTCACGCATTCCTCACATTTCCCTTTTATCTCTCTCTCCCTTTTCGATCTCTCTCTCTCTCTTTCTCTCGAATGGAAGCTCTCAAGAACAACAACAAGAAGAAGAAGCAATTTTGTTTGAGGGGCATGTTGTCTGGCTCGAGGCCACTTTTCTGAATCCAAAATGGGATCTCATCGGATAAGTGTCGTCGGACCAGGCTTCATTCCCCCCACAAATTTTGCTTCAATCTAAGAAAATAAAGAAAGAAATCCCCAACTTGATGTTAGCTTCAATTTTCTCCTCATCTGGATCTACAGGTAAAATCGAAATCTGGTGGTGGTGTTTTGTTTGTTGTAAAAAAAAAAAAAAAAAAAAAAAAGTTTTTTTGTTTTGGAGAAAAATAGGAAGAAAAGAAATGATTTGGATTTAGATTCGGTTTGGGGCAGGAGCAGATTGGGGTAATGATGGTTTTATTTTGACTCTCTTTTCTGACGAAAGAGTGAAAGGATGATGATTACATTACAATTTCTTTGGTTGTTGTTGGGTTTCTCTTTCATGGATCAGGGGTGTGAGAGAAAAAGATGTAAACTTCTTCTTCATCATCATTCTCCTAATTTTTTCTTTCTACAATCATCATCATGCCTTTTAGAATCTTCTTTTGTCTCTTTCCATTTCATTCATTAGGGTTTCTTTTTGTTCTTATGTTCTTCTAATGTAATGGTTTAGATTTGTATTGCAAGTTTCTAGATCCATGTTCATACACGGCTTTCTATTGCTTTTCATATGTATGCCTTTCATTCTCAGAATTGCAGTAATCCTGTTCATTCAAAGGCTGTAGCATATGCTTCAACTTATGCAAATCATTCACTCTTTAGATCCCTCTCAAACCAGATGAGTTTGCAATATCTCTTGAATTACATTACCTTATCAAACTATCAACAATCTTTCCTTTCCATTACCTCACTAAACTCTCAATTTAATTACTTGCATCTTGCTTTTATGTGTTAGACCTCCACAATCATATCACTCCCCTCCACAATCATATCACTCCCTCCCAACAATCCTCCCCTCGAATAAAGTATACTATAGAGCCTCTTCGGGGCCTATAGAGTCATTGAACAGCTTCTCTGGAGTCTCAAACAAAGCACACCATTTGTTCGACGCTTCAAGATTCTATTGACATGGTTAAGTGAGGGGTATGACTCTGATACCATGTTAGAAATCACGAATCTCTATAATGATACGATATTGTTCACTGCTTTATTTTGACTTTTCCAAGAGGCCTCATTCTAATGGAGACGTAGGACTTACTTATAAATTCATGATCATTTTCTAAATTAATCGATAGGATCCCTTCTCAACGATGCTCAAGAAGGATGTTGTTTATATTTTGAAAATGGTTTAAACAAAGAAAATGAAGAGAGAAAAAAAAAGAGGAGAGGAGAGAAATGGTGAGGGTGATGGGTGGGAAGAGTGTGTGTGACATGGGGAAGAGGGAGTGGTGTGGGTCTGATTGTGTCATCAATTTTTGAAACTGAGACATATGCTTCACATAAATGCTTGTAATTATTGTCTCTTTCTCTTTCTCTCTCTCTTTCTCTGTGAAATCTGAATCATTTGTGTTAAATGAGAGAAGTCAACATCACCAATTACTCACCATGCATACTCAACCAGCTACAACTGTGATGTGTTCTTGTTTTTGGCTCACTTTTTGAGAAATTTTTTATTTTTTTTAAAAAAGACTATCAATTTTAGTACATATTAACTTGATTAGACACAGGGTGGGAAGATTTGTGTTTGCTTAGAGGAATGTTTTTGGATTGAGCAATGCAAGGCGGTTTTGACTTGCACATGTTTATGTAACAATACATGAGCAGCGTCTCCAACAACCCCAACCTCACAACCCTCTTGGCTCACTCTTCCTTGGCTATGGACGTTTACAACCTGGTGCTCAGGGTCATCTTTTGGTCCCCGCACTGTTTTGGCCTCCATCGCCGTCAATGATATCGAGTTTTCGATCGACATGTTCACACTGGGATGGTGTGCTGCCAGAGCAGCCTCTGAATCCTCCCTCACTTCCAGCCCTGGGTTCTTGGGCTTCGTCTCGTGATTGAACTTCTTGTTCTTGTTGGTTGCGTATGGGAGATAAGAGTGAAGTTCAATTCAAGCATGAGCTTTGACGAATAATAAAGTTACATGTTTAATTAATTACATTGATTGAATAGTAGGACAGTTACATATTAATTAATTTTTCAAATTTATCTTTATAAACCAAAAATTAAAAGACTTTTAAGAGACCTAAAAGTTATAAAATTTAAAGTTGGACAATAATAGCTAAATTGCAATTACACATTAAAAACGCTAATTAATATGTAATTTTGCATGGTTATTTATTTTTTTTTTTTTTTTGCTTGACTTCCACGTAGATATGATAATAGTATAATAATTTATTTGGTTAGATTTGGTTAGATTTAGATTTATTTGGTTAGATTTAGACATATTGTGCATACAATTTGTCGAATATTTATTTAGATTTAAGGTTCATACAATTGAAACAAAAAGACCCATGTTTTTATCATATTTGTGATAGTCAAACATTTATTAGTCATTTCCTTCGCTAAAAATTTTAGATGATTGTATTATTTTAGATGATTGTATTATGTTTGTGATAGTCATGTAGTCACATATAGTATTCATGTATACTATGCGTGGAGATGATGTTATGATTGAAAAATTCTTCTATCGTACATCATGATATATACTCGTGTTTTGTATGAGCGACTACATATATGAAATGGAACCGATGATCGAAGGAAGTTGAATAGATATGAAGGTTTCAAATGAAATGGATGTTCAAGAAATGTAAGAAGAACTAGCTAAAGGGGGAATTGATTCTAACCAATTCTTATTGGACCATAATTTTTTATTAAAATAAATTTACAATTACCAATTTTAAATGATCTAGACATGGCATTGAGTTTAATCATTTCACAAATCATAGCTTTATTTGCAATTTTTATACCCATCAATGGCTATGCCAACACCTCTGCTGCAGAAGCTTTGGATGCTTGGCTTTCCAAATGCACGAGGAAATCGATCACGAAAGGATCGGGCCACGGAGCTCCCAGGGGAGCACTAGAGCCTGCAACCCACCCTAGATGCCCACCTTTGGGCGTCACTATCAACAAACAGTTCGGATTTTCCTGCACCAACAATCACATTACAAAAACACGTATGCTAAACTCAACAGGATACATATTAAACTACCCCTGGGATATGAACATAAAATCTACCACTATGATGATATCATATGATATCCGTTAAATAGTTATCAAATCGAGCCTAAAAGACCATGCGAACCTTTATATCCTCACGGGGGATTGCTTTATCTGGAGCAATTGGATCATTTGCTGCCTGCAAAGAAACAACAGCAGTCTTGTGTTCTTAGAGAACAGTGAGACAAGACAACCCTTAGAAACAAAAAAAAAAAAAGGTACCTGGATGCAAAGCAATGGAATTCTGACATCTTTTATGACTTTTGAACTGCTGGACTTTGAATAATATTCATCCACAGAGTTGAAACCAAATGAAACTGAACGTTGTTCGAAGAAAAAGGAAAAACTCTAAGCAGAAGAAACGACGTATACCGACACTTATGTCAATTGAAACTACCGAAAGTTAAGAGAAATAATACCGCGAGTTAAGGCATCATCGTAGTCTCTAATAGTCCACGCATTGGCAGCCAATGGGAGATTGAATTCACCAGGCATATCATTAAAGAGATCAGCATGCCTGCAATCTCAGGGGAACCCAGTCAGATGATACAATCTAAGTAAGTATCTAATGATTTTTCAGTATTAGATACATGGTTAACAGAACAAAGACATTTGCACAAAAGAGAATTACTTCTGGAAATTTCGACATAAAGATCGAGCAAGGGCTTTGTCATAAACATTGTTGAAGCCCTTCCGGAAGTTCTCATCTGTAGCTACTAAATCGAAAGGATTACACAACGACACAGCACCAGACAATGGACAGGACATACAATCCTGCAATGAAAATGAATGAGTACAAATGAATTTTAAGAGACAAAGATGAACAACATCAGAATAATTACTAGATGCATATGAAACTTAAACAATCTACATAGAGATTTTGTTCTTTTCGTTATTCAACAAAGAACAGCTTTGTTTGTTTCAAGTTGTACTACAACATATCTTGAAACACAATCAATATCCTAATTGAAATGCTTTTACGTTTTACGATAGAACGCTGGCAAAGGGGTGTGAAGAAGGCACCGTTCACAAATGTCCAATGAGATCCCACATCGGTTGGAGAGGCAAACGAAACATCCTTTATAAAGTTGTGGAAACTTCTCCCTAACAGACGCATTTTAAGGGGAAACCTGAAAGAGAAAGTTCAAAGAGGACAATATTTGCTAGCGGTGGGCTTGGCCCGTTACATGTTTAGTTGTCCAGATCCCAACAAAATTTGTAGACAGGAGCCCTATTAAAACGATGGTCCTCCAAAATAATATAATATTGTCCATTTTGTACATAAGTCTCCGAAGTTTTGTTTTTTGTTTTACTTATCCCATCACGACGACACCATTCTGAAGGTCTTTTTCTCACGATTTCAATTCCGAGTTTCCCTCATTCTATGAGATTTTAGGAAGCTTTAGAAAGAATGGTAACCAATAAGTAGAATAAAAAGAAGGATGGAGATTAATAAGTAATGTTTTAGTTTTACCTGTCCCAAATAATTTACAAGAATGTTACCACCAAGAGACCAGCCAACAGCATACACATTAGCCTCGGGGTATCGTGTAGTAACATATGCAACTACATCACGCATATCTCCTAAAAATGAAGCTGAATAGAACTGCATGTATCAGTGTTGCAAAATATATCATAAACAGGAATGTCGACTCTGAGTATTGTAAAAACAAAATAATCATCTTATATACAAAGTGCTTCAATTCTCCAACATGGAAAAGAATAAAGAACCTGGGGAGAGGTAACAGGACTATTCCCACATCCGCGGTTGTTGAAGACCACAACCCTCCAACTACGATCTCTGGCTCTAACCAACATATGTCTTACATATGAATCTTGACTCCCTCCAGTTAAACCAGGCTGCAAAGATTTAAGAAACTAATATGAAATCCATTGATATGAGTAAGGAAGTGTTAGAATCATAAGTACAAAAAAACTACAATGTAACTATATAGTAATATCTAAGAGAAATTAAGGTACGAATCGTCTTTCGATATCTCGAGCCCACAATCTGCCTGCGTGGACTGATTTCCCAAAAATCATCCTAATTCATACACACTCAAACTCTCTCTGTTTATAAGCACCCTTTGAACCGACTATAAAGTAATTACTATGCTACTACTAATATCCTAATAAGATTCCTACTATTTCCTTGATACTCTGACAGGAGCCATATTTGCTTCAAGAAATCAACCCCATTCAAGGATCAAACTGCAAGTTCAATTTCAACATTTAATCAAAATCCAAGACACGCAGATTAGAATTAAATGCATTAACGAATTTAGTGCCTTTGAGCTTTCACTTCAAGGATGCCCAATTCGTGAATTGGGTAGTATGCCATCAACATTCAAATAGATACATGACATTCTTTGACCCCATGTTAAATTAAACAAGTGTTCTAGTGTTTATGAATTGGGGTTAACATAATCATTCCCTTCCTAATTCCAAATTTAACATCATTTGGTATACGAGCATCATTTGTATCATATCTAATTCAAAAAAATTTCAGAAAACAAAGAATCAGAAGGCGCAAACCAGAAGAATAAGAACAGGAGAATCAAGAGGCAGGCGGAGATGATCACCGGCGACCCAATCCAAAGCAATGGTGCCATTATCCGCCACACGCAAGCACTCGCGGCGGAGCTTGATCTTGGGGGAAATCCTAAAGAAGGAAGCAAAAATAGTCTCCAAATGGCGATTGGACCCAATTACAGGGAATTTCTTATAGGGTTTGTCCAAGTACTTGAAAGCCGGGAGGAACCGATCGCGACCTCCGCCGACGACCTCCAGCGACGGATGGGGGAGTATGATTCTCTCCGACGAAACCTCCGCCATGGTGATGAAAGTGGTGGTAGGATGGGAGGAGCGGCGTCGGTGATTGGCTACTAATGCTGGGGAGAAAGAAGAGACGAGCAAGGCGATTATTGGGGAAGAGGAAACGTGGAGCCCAAGAAGGGCATCGCCATCGGTGGGCAATGAGAAGGAATCGGAGTTGGAGAGATGGATGAGGAACGGCTGTGATTCTTCTTACTGCTCTCCTATACGCCATAATTTTGTATTTTGGATTTTGGAAGAGAACTGATCGGAGGGTCCCCGCCGGTATGGTGGGTAAGCTCCGGCTAGAGGTATTACCAAATAATGGTTCATAGTCATCGTCGGTAACGCAGTCCATTGGTAATAATGAATATTATTAGTTATTACTTTTTTTTTTTTTAATACTCTTTTTTAATTTGATGAATATTTTTAAAAACATTATACGAGACATTCAAACGGTGTTGGATAATGCACAGTCTTCCTTGATAGCATCATGTCACTTCTAAATCTTAGTTCTCGTGGTTGGATGAGCGTCACTTGAAAATTGTCTCTTGTCTATTTTAACGTGTGGGGCCACAACTTACTTTCTCTCGATAAGGTTGTGACATTCTCTCCACTTAACTAATCATCTCGATAACTTTCTGGGAACACAATCGTAAAATTAATATTTTAATTTTTTTATAACAAAAATATTAAAATATTAATAAATTTTAAAATATTTTTTTAATGCTGATGGAGATAGAAATTTTAACTTTCATCATGTCAAATATGTTTTAGCCAAATACAAGTAATAAAAATACAAAAAAATAAAAATAAACCCTCGAACATAGGGTAAAAGTAAAACCGTGAATTTTTTTGTGTCTCTCTCCTGTCTGCCGTAAATAAATGGTAAAAGTGGGGGTTTTTTTTTTTAATATATTTTTATGATGGCACGAACTTCATACAAATAGGAGGATTAATCTTAGCAAGAGCAAGAACAGCCGCCGGCAAAGTCCAAAGCCCTTCCCCACAAATCAACCCGGAAGCCACCGCCGGCACCATCATCTCCGCCTTCTCCCGATTCAGCTTCCCCCAAACAAACACAATCAAACTCCCCAAACACATATCAATCGCGAAATACCCACCAACCAGAAACGGCACCGCCATCACCATCGGCAACGGCATCCACTTCCCAACTCTCCCGCCCCCCACATCCTTCACCAAGTTCACCCCAATCGCAAATCCAAAAAACCCATAACAAATCTGCAAGCAATGCTTCGGCAACGCCGACACCCCCTCCACTCCCAAGATTGCCATGTTCCTATAAATCAGAGCGTACGGCGCCTTGAACTCCCCGTTCGGATTTCCCACGTCGAATGCCTTGTAGAACAGGAAGAAGCTCAGCGGCGCCGTGACGCAGCCGACGGCGGTGCCAATGAGTTGGCTGACGAACATGGCTCTAGGGGAAGTGGAGGTCAAATGGGCTGTCTTGAAATCCTGCATCAGAATGCAGGCGACAGAGACAACGGATTTGATTAGGCCGCAGCCGGCAAGGCCTGCGATTAGGGCGTCGTGTTTGGGGCTGATGGCGGCTAGGATGAAGAGGGCAACCTTTCCGTAGTTGTAGGCCATGTTGATGTCGGTAAGGCCGGCGCCATATGCGTTGCAGAAAGCGAGGGAGGGAGCGAGGATGTATGCTGTGATGACGAAGTACCATTTGAGCTGAGGGAACATTTGGGGAATTGCGATGGTGGAGACTGTGGCGAAGGCTAAGTAGCCGACCAGGCCGAGCCAGAGTGGGATGGTTTCTCGCAAGAACATTTCGTCCTGTTTTTCCTCTGTTGCTGGTTTCTCGTTGTCGTCTAAACCTGTTCCTTCCAACAACAACAACAACAACAACATGATGATATGGGTTATTCCCATCTTCTCATATCAATTTTGCTTAATCAAGGTGATTCAAAAATTTCTTAGTATAATAATCGAACCCAAAAGGTTAAAGAAGAACCTGTTTTGGCTTTCTTGACTCGATGGTGAACACTTACGATGGTTGAAACAAGAATCTTGACAAAGTTGTAAAGGCCATCTCCTAGAATCAAAGCAACAGATAAAAAGACCTGAAACGTCGATGACAGACAGCCCATGAATGAAATGGTTCATCTGAATTAGAATTAAAGAAAGAAGCAAACAAACAAACAAACAAACAAACCTTATATCCATATAAACTCTTCATGTCACTTTCCTCCAAACTCTCAGCATACCACCGCCCTTTGACTCGATCAAGAAGAGGCCACATTAGGCCATAAGACAGAACGGCTCCTAGCAGCAAAGACAAGTTCACTAAGTGGGAACAAATCATCCCAGCTCCCACGAAAGTTGCATCAAAATCAAAGAAGAATCTGCAACAAGATTAGTCACGGGTTTAGTTGAAAATGAATCAGCTCTCGTAGCTTTGCTCTGGGGTGAATGAGGATGTATTTCTCAGTTATAAACTCATTTTCGTCTCTAACAAAGGGAAGGTTTGAATATCATACGTTTGTTTCCAAGCTTTGAGTCCGAAAGTGGGGAACTCAGAGAAGCCGCACTTGTCTTTCCCAGAAAAGAACCACTTGAAGAGAGCCCATAAGAAGCTGAAGGAAAAGTACTTCATGAACCCTTTAACTTGCTTCCTGTCACCAATTACAATACTCTTCTGATATCCGACACATAATAGTAGCATCCTCCACCTTTTTCAATTAATAAAATAAAAAGAATTGGGATTTTAAGAGAAAAAGTCTTACTTTGCCATCTCATCACCCTGAGTGTGAAAGCCATTTATCAGTACTGCTGTCGCCAAGCCACTAGGATATGTCAATTGCAGGTCCACTATCATAACCTGTGCCACCAATCACTGTATTACTACCCCACTTTTTTAACTTTTACATTTATTCTTCTATTCCACACTTAATCTCCTAACTTTATGCTTATATCATATCATAAACGCACAATAGTAGATATTGTCGGCTTTAGACTTCTATTAGAGAAAGATTTTCACGCACTTTTAAAAAATGTTTCATTTCTTTTCAAGTAACGTGAGATCTCACAATTCGCTCTTATTCAGATCAAGCGTCTTGCTGACACTTGTTCCCCTCTTTGATCGATGTCTTTTCCCTCTTTGATCGATGTGGGATCTCACAGTCCACTCTCTCAAGCTCTAGTATCTTTGTTGGCACACCATCTTGTGTCGAATTGTGAGATTCCACGTACGTTGTTAAATAAAAAGAAAAGTTAGGAATTTGAGGGTGGATAATAGTTCGAAAATGTTATACAGAAAAACGCACAAACGTCCACCAATAAATTGACGACATGTGGTTTCATCTCATTCATGTTGGAAATGAAATCAATCATTAAAAAGGCATACCCTAAAAGATATAATTTTTAATTGTAATCCGATTTTGCGTCATCTTCAAACTTTAACCTCAAACCCTAAAAGAAAAAAGGGCTAGAAAAGCTCTGAAACATAATTAAAAAAAAACTTTCCCTTTTTCATGTTCTTTTAAGCGGAAGAAGAAGAAGAAGAAAAAAAAACAAACCTTTCTTAGAGGAATCAACACAAAAAGACCCACAAAGCAAACCACAAAAAGAAAGCCAGTCATCCACCCCAATCCTGGCTCCTTCACACTGTATGAAGAATTCCCTTCTGTGTTCACCCCTGATAATTCATACGTCTTCCTGTTCATCCCCAATAGATATGAAGCAAACCCACCTGCATTTTTACACAAATTGCACGTTTTTCTTATCTGGGTCACTCTCTAAATCGCCTTAAAAACAAAAAAAAAGTAAAAAGCTAAGAGCTTTTGGTTTACCTCCGACCGAGATGCTATAACAAGCAACAGCACAAGTCTGAATCATGGTATTCTCTTGACGAGTAAAGGGTTTAGTAACAAACCCAGCCTTCTGCAGCGTTTTAGTCCAAGTTCGTACGAAGATAAAAGCAAGAAGAGCAGCGGAGACGTTAAGATTAGGGACAAGCCCAGTAGTAAGATTCAATTTCATGGCTATCACACTGTAAACACTTCCAATAATGATACTCGCCGTTACTCCTCTGATTGTCAACTGCCTCGTCCATGGTTGAACCCTCTTCCACCTCGAGTTTCTGCCCGAATCTCCGCCTCGTTCGGTAGCGGTCCGATGAGCATCGATGGGATCCTTGGCAATCTCGGTAGCCATAGTAGTAGTAGTAGTAGTGGAATAAAGAAGGGAGTGTTGAATTTGGAATATATATATAGAAAGAGAGAGCAGTGGTGGGTTTGGATTCTTTTATCTTGATTGGTCACCAGAAATTGATAGGCATTATTATTACAAGGAAGTCTTTTGAGGTGTCTTCTTCTTTGCTCCTTTTTTGTTCTATATTCTCTTCAACTTGAGAAAGTAATGGTTTTTAAGTATGCAAAATCAAAAAAATACCATTTCTTTATAGTTTAACCTACTTTAAGATGCTTTTTTAAACATGTTTTAGGGTCTTAGCTTCTGTCTTTTTTTTTTTTTTTCTTCTTTTTAATTTAATTTTCCAACTTTTTAATTTTTTTTCATAGGTTAAAAGTAAATATAATTTTGCCAAAAATATATAATAATAACCGTCCATCTTGAGTCTTCCCTTTCGACATCTTCAAGAGTTTCAGTTGGACAGGCGCACTCACAAAAGGAAGCCTTCCGACCCAGAGCTATTACGCTTTCTTTAAAGGATGGCTGCTTCCAAGCCCACCTCCTGGTTACAGAATCGCTTGCAGAAGCCCTCAAGCTCCGTCCTTTCTAGGCCTTTTGACTATTAAAGATTAATTAACCATTTAGCCACACGCATTAATAATCTCGGATGGTCTTAGTAAACAGGTGGTGGCCCACAAGATTGATCTCTATATCTTTGAATGAATTTTCCAAAACACGATTTGAGTGGTTTTCCTTGATAAGATCGATTTCTCGAAAGAAAGACCTCTCTTTCGAGATCAATCCCGTCCCTACCGTTATTCTATGTCCGGTTCAGCAGTTCGAAGTTGTTCTATGCCCGGTTCCCCAGTCGATCCAGCTGTTTGACATCTCATTTCTGTTTAGAGCATTTTTTTTATTTTTTTCTAAACCGTCAAACATGCAGTAAAGTCTCATTTTGTTTGGTGGGTCCTTTCCATTGCACATATTAAAGTGGAGAAAATTATGTGGAAAATGTTCACGAAATCAACTTGAAAAAGTGGAATGTTTTGTATTATCATTGCTTCCACTAATCATAAAACTTTTTTTTGTTTAATATTATTTAACCATCATATTGTTTACGTAATTAATCGCATTAACTAATATACTTATTTTATAAAAATATTCTCGATTAAAGAGAGATACTCTAATTCATTCAAATCGGTTCTTATTAGAAAAATCTGTTAAATTTAAGTAAATAAATGGTTTTTGGTTTTTAATGGAATTGGGAAATTTCCCAATAATTTATTTACGCATTGTCATTTTCAACGGGCTTTCCAATCAATTCAACTTTCTACATGCCCATCAATTCCTTCAATGCATTAACTTATATCACTTATACTAAAATGTCTATTATCATAAATTAATTACCCATAAATACATTCCATTAATAATAATACACTATTTATTAATTCAATATATATATATTTTTTTTATTATTTAAACAATAATTTGCGTCCCTGGTCAACATTTTGACTTGGCTTTCAAATGTTTTGTTGTATTATGTGACCAATTAAATGCAGTCGTTACCAAGTCGATTGCGAAATAAATTGTACTTTTTTTTTTCCTCTTTTCTCACACACAATAATTCCCATCTTGTAATTATTTGTAATATTTTGGGCTTTGAAGCAACTTGTATATGGTCTTGATTTCCTATACGTTACTCAACACCTCCATATGTGACTTCTATGATTACGACTTTAAGTAGGAACTAAGTTGGAGTAATAATTGCGTCATAATTTTAGATTTATGTAATTAAGAATTCTCATGAAAGTAAACACTAGAGTTTAGGTTAAAAATAAAATACATTAATAGCGTTAAGATTTTTTTGTTTTTTTTTTATAAGATCCTACGTTGGTTGGAGACGGAACGAAATAATTTCTTATAAGGGTGTGGAAACTCCCTTCTTAATAGACTTGTATTACATGAGCCAAAGTATTAAATATTTGGAATGAAAAGCTATCGATCTTTTGATGATAGGTTTGGGTGGTTTGATTATTTGTCACTCATGCAGTCCAATCCATGGAAACATCACCTTTTGTCTATTGTTTTAAGTCAATAATTTCATAAACTTTCGTTAATTTGAATGTTAATATTATTTTCCAAAATTATTTTTAAAATAATGTAATATTTTCGATAAGAAGTTACTAATTTTTCCTTATTTATAATTACGTATTTCTTATCTTCTTATTTTTTAGTCAATATAAGTCAAAATAGTTTTTCGAACAAAGTATTGTAAAGTCTCCTTTCACGTGTCTGCTCTTAATCTTATTGAGAGTTTGTTCTTTCCGTAGGCTAACTCATCACCAGTCTTTATAGAACACAACATTGTGAAATATACATGGGTATCCGACCATTTCGTTTCAACTCTTAACTATAAAATCTCCATATTTGTTGCTATCAAATTGAGATAGTTATCCTTACATATATCCTACCTATAATTTTTTCCCTTTTTTTTACTAATACGAGATTTGGATCGTATCGAGAATATTTGCCAACTTTGAATGGCCGAATAAAATAAGCAATTTTTACATTTGAGAATTAAAAAGATATTTTGATGAAGTTTTATGAAATAAAAAATACATCTCATCACATTCCATTTGAGAGAAAAGGCTCTCAAATCAGTCCACATCCCAAATTGTGTTCAGATTCTGAGTGTTTATTGAGGAGTATGCTCACCACATGGCCAATTTGGAGTCCTCTCCTTTTGATCATGTCTATTCTTTGAATTGATTCTATCCCTTTTTTTTTTTTTTTTCTTTTCTTACTTTTGTAAGAGAAAGGAATAGTTTGAGACTTAAATTTACTATATGATACAGTTTGATTCCGAATTTAAATCTCGAATCAAATTCATAACACTTACATACTTAACTACATAATTTTTTTTTATCCAACAAGATTATTATTTCTTAGCGTTGATCGTATTTAGATATATTTGTTCGGGTTAGATATTTTGAGGGTGTCGCTATCCATTCAACTAAAACTAATACTCAAAAGCACCACCACTACTACTCATCATGTCAATGTGTTTGTAAGGTTGTGTTGATTTTAGCCACTCAATGTGCAATTGGGGTTTGATTTCCCGGTTCTTACAAGTCCTTTTCCCTACCTCTTATTCTTGGCCCAACCCATTTGGCCCATTATTTAGGGGCCTTTTTGACTTTTGCCTTCTCAATTGACCCAACCAATGGCTCACCATTATTATTCTTGCTTCCAACCAATGGCTGCTACCCCTCTCCCAAGATATTACTATGACTTTTGCCTTAAGGAATAGTATCTAAGTCTCCCCTTCATTTTATCTATTTAGAATATTAAAAAGTTTAATAACAATTCAATTATCTCGCAAATTTTTAAATATATTCGTGTTTCGTTTTTCCTCTTAGCCACTATATATATACACAATAATTCTTTAATTTAATAACTACATACTTATCTAAAAAAATAATTTATGAGTAGCATTGCATATCACTTGTAATTACATCTACTTGGTTGATATCCTTGTCCGTCCTGATCTTTAACATAGACCTTCACCAGTATGAATAAGTTAGGGAGGAGAATTTTAGTATGAAATAAAAATGACAACATTTATAGGTTTGGTATATGCCTAAAAATGTTGGGTTTAATTTGCAATTTCAAAATTTTCACGTGTACAAATAATATTTTTATAATAAAATTATTTGATAATAATATATTTTCATTTTGTTATCTTAATTAAGTTAATAATTTTTTTTTTCTTTTTTTTTTTTTTGCAAGATTTGAACCTTTAGGGTGGGAAATTTCCCAAAAGTATAACGCCAGAAAATGTCCATACCTCACAGCCTGGCATCTGCATCGATCAAATCACCAAATGAACGGCTCACAATAGAGGTCCACAGAAAACCCCGTATCCGCGAAGAACCGGATTAATCACTCACCTTTCACGCGTCAAAATACGAAGTGCAAAGGCCACCACCCAAATTTGTCCGCTTGTCCACGTCATCATAAAACCCGTGTGCTTCCACCCCTGGGTTGGGGAAAATTATAATTTCTCCCCCTTTCTATATAATCCCTCAACTTTGACCTCCAATTCTCGGGTCAAATCAAAATTCAATTCATCGGATTCTCGTAAAATAAAAAATGTGCAGGTCGACGGATTACCGGTGCCGCCTCGGCGGTGATCGCCTCAAGATCAAGGCATTCTTCGTTCGGTTTTCGCATCTTGAATCCCTAAATCCACCGCTGGACTCGCTCACTCTCTTCTACCTTCCTCGCATTGACGAGACCGACCTGGAGATCGACGGCCTTAAGATTCGTCCGGACTCGCCGGCGTTTGTGACTCTTCATCGAGTCGTCTCGCCGTCGTTGCGGATGAGGAAGGATGTGGTGTTCGGGAGTAGAGAGCGAGTTCGAGCAAGCGAAGGTGTGCAGTTCCAGGTGTATTTGAGGGCGGAGAAGGTCGTGCAGGGGATTTTCAGGAGGTGCGACGATGGAGAGTGGAGATTAGAGTGTAAATGCGCGCTTGAATCTGACATCGGCAGATCAGCGGCAGCGGCGGTGGAGATTTGTGTGGATTTGGAGGGAGAGGTAGCGATGTTTGAGAAGGTGGTGCTGAAAGTGAGAAGGAAGAAGAAGAAGAGAGGTTTCTGTGCAATGGAGGAGATTCCGGAGAGGCGAGAAGTGGACGGTGATTGCGATGGATGTGGTGGTTGTTGTGAGGTGGATGGAGATTCGTCGGTCGGCGATTGCGGTTGTAGTGGTGGTGACGATGATGACGGTGGCGGAGAAACGGAGGTAGAGGGGGCGTGGTGGGGCATGGATTTGGGGATTTGGGCCGTGTGTTTAGGAGTTGGGTTCTTGGTCTCTAAGGCGGCCCACTCCAAAACATTGAGGCGCAAGGGAATATTCTGAAATCCTAGAGATATATATTTTGTAAATATTTATAAAATATTAGGAAATGCATAATTACGAGTTGCTGAGGAAGTTCATGAATAAAATTTTGTTGAAACAGAATAATTTTAGAAATTTCTGCAAATATTGCGAAGATTTAGCTTCTCAAGATAATTCTCTTCCATCGAGCCCCAGCCAAGGAGCAACCAAGTATCAAACTACTATTGAGCACACCATATTAACCCGGTCCAAATACAAGTCATGTTTGTTTTTACTTCTCCTACATTACTACGACAATAGAAAAATGGGAAAAAAACAATAAATAGAGGAGATCCATCTTATTACACAAGTGCACAAACTCAATTCCAACTCATTTAGACACCATTTCTTTTAAGATAGTATATAATGCGAACAATATAACATTCGAGTACGGAAGAGGTTAAATACCTGATTTTTTTGTGAGATTTTACCTCGATTGGAAATGGAAACAAAACATTTCTTATAGAGGTGTCAAAACTTCTCCCTATTAGACTCATTTTAATACATTGAGGGAAAGCCCTTAATGAAAAGTCTTAATAAGACAATATATCGAGCAGTGTGCCAACAAGGACATTGGGCCCCAAATGGGATGGATTGTGAGATCCCACATCGATGGCTATTACAAGTGGGGTGGATTGTCAAATCTCACATAGGCGGTTACAAATGATATCAGAACAAGATATTGGGCAATGTACCAGTGAGGACGTGGCCCCAAATGGAGTAGATCGTGAGATTCCACCTTAGATGGAGATCGGTTGGAAAAGGGACGAAGCAATCCAACGAAACAATTGTTATAAGGACATAGAATCCTTACAAGTGAACTTGAAAGGTTACAAAATATTTTAAAAAGTTGTTAACATGCATTTTAATTTTTAAATTGGTGACATTGTGTAATTTTCAAAAAGTAACCGTATTTAAATATTTATTTTTCAGACTTAACCGAGATAAAGTGTAGGTGTGATTTACATTCTAAAGAATTTTTAACTTGAAATGTAGTATAAAAATAAAAACATTTGTATTAGTCCTTAGACGAACATAACTCTCCAAAATGATATGATATGGTCCGCGGTTAGCTTTTATTTATTTATTTTTGTTGGGAAACAAGTGAAGTTTAATTTAATTCTCATTTGAAAAAGAAAAGAAAAAACAAAATCCGTACAGCAATGCCGAAAGAGGTTGGCACGGTTGCCAAGAAGTGAAGAAGAATTCCATAGGGGAGTGGCTCTTCGTTTTCCCGTTCAGAATTTTGGTTCCACAATTCTGATTCTCACTCCCTTCCGATTATCATTTCACTGATTCACCACAATTACAGCGCCAATGATCACTCTGGCTTCTGCTTATTTATCATCATCCCCTTCCAATTTCTCTTCTCTCAACCTTCTTCGCCTCACCAAACCCCCTTTCACCTTCTCAACTTCACTCTCCAATCTCAAACCCTTAAATCCCTCCCACAAATCAGCTTCTAATCAGGTAAAGATTGCTCCGTCCCCTCAACTCCCCTGTTTCCGACACTGATTTGGATTTCGAGTGAAATAAGTTACCCACTTTGATCGCAGAGGAGGACGACCCGAAATGGGATTTGTCGGGCGGAATTGGGAAACGACGCGCCTTTCGCTATTGCGATCGGGGCTTGCATTCTTAGTTCTCTTGTTCTTCCACCAGCTGGCGGTGGTTCCGATGATGATAGCGATGCCGTTATGGATTCCACTGATGCTAGGCTCGCTGTCATGGGCATCATTAGCTTTATCCCCTACTTCAACTGGCTGGTGTGCATGTTTTAGATTTTCAGTTCAATTTTTAGTTTGGATGTTGATTTTTAAAGAAATTATTTTATCTTCTTCTTCTTCTTCTTCTTCTTTTGGTTGATTGGATAGAGTTGGGTTTTTGCGTGGCTTGATTCTGGGAAAAGACGTTATGCTGTGTATGCTATCGTGTATTTGGCTCCTTATCTAAGGTGATTTTCAATTCTTGGGGTTTTCTTGTTTTTCTTCCCTTCAAACTCACTGAGATGTGAAATTTTGAATATTAATCTGTAGCTGTGTTGGTTGAACTAGTTGTTTAAATTTCTAAGAACTCAAAAACAAGTGATGAGCCATGTAAAGAGAAGAATGTGCAGAATGTGGATCGCATGGGTTTTCTGTCATTTATGAAGTTACAAAGCCTCAGTAGTGTGCTTATCAAAATTTACTGGGCAAGAGGTTATGAAAAGCATTTCATTTTGTTATTGATGAGTATTTTCTACAAGAATTTTGGTCTTATAAACTTGATTTGTTGGTGGGGGGGTTGCCATTGCGGTTATTAGGAGGTTTCAACCCTCAGTGGTGTGAGTATCTTAGAGCTAAATTACACCATTTGCAGGTGTGTTTGAGACTTTGGTGATGTACAGCGCAAGCCCACCGATATCTAATATTGTCCTTTTGGGCTTTCCCTTCAAGATTTTTAGAACGTATATGCTAGGGAGAGGTTTTCACACGTTTATAAAGAATGTTTCGTTCTTCTCCCAAACCGACGTGGGTTCTCATAGAATGAACGTCATTCATTATTTAAGTAGCATGCACAGGCACCATTATGTTATTCTCACCATAATTTTGCATCTCGTTATCAGGTCAAATTTATCGTTGTCACCCGATGAGAGTTGGCTTCCTATTGTCAGTATACTTATCTGCATAGCTCACATTCAGGTATCTTCACTAGTTTCTTCCTTGTCCTTCGAACTATTCACTAGAAGTTTTGCAAAATTCTGGTCATGACATGAACGCCAATGCAAACAGCATACTCTCATATTGAAATGTTGTACCATTAGCTTGTTTCTTGTATCACATCTTTGGATTTACTTGTAGGTTGAAGCAAGCATTAAAAATGGAGATATTCAACCCTTCCAAATATTCGGTAAGACGTCCAATCAAATTTCTCGGACGAAGATAGCGAGAGGCCATTTGAAGGGGTCCCAAGGACCAACTAAAAAGGTAAACTCTATATTACATAGACAAATGCACTGTACATGTGTATTGTAATCTGAGTCTTATAAGAGCTGTCTTACCTTATATTGAAGAGTGGCAAGAAAAGGGATATGAAGCTTCCATCTGCTGAAGAACAATTGAGAGATGAGATTAAAGGATGGGGAGATTATAAAGAGACATTAGATCATGAACAATCCAATGAAGAATGGGATGACGAACAGAGGAGAAAACGTTAGGACATAGTTCTTTCTCGAAGTTGAATTATACAGAATGATAGTTCTAAACATGTTTATTACATACAGAATGAAGTCACTTGCAACCATTTCCATGGAGCTTACATATTCTTACAACTGCTGCAATTGTTCTGCAAAACTTAGCCTTCTGTTCTTATTCTCACTTAGTTTACTCTTCTTTTGCCAGATAACAAGTTTGATATTGAAACTTCTGTAGCAAACATCACAAGGAACTATAAATACAGGATTGAGTATGGTAGTTTAATATTCGTATCAGAAAGGTCAAATTTCTGCAATGTCATATAAGGAGTATAGATTCGTGGTAGATGCTGTCGATTTAGGTATAGCTTAAATGGTTAGGTCATTGTTTCTCGTTGGTTTTAGATTCAAATTCTCTCGCGTTTTATGCCGTTTTTAAAAGGTTAGATAGTTTAAAATGGATGATATTAAATTTGTCTTCATAATAGGCGTTATTTTTTTTTTAAAAGGTATATTGATGTTATTTTATAAGAAAACAGCATATAAATGATATACAGGAGCAAACGAGAAATTGTGTAAAAATATAAAAAACAACGTGTGAAAATTTAAAAGAAAATAAAAAAAAAAAAAAAAAAAAAAAAAAAG